AGGCATTGGAGGGTGCCAGATCCAGTTTCATGCCCCCTTGAGACGAGCAGGACCCAGCAGGTGGCGGCCAGCGCAAGGTCACAGGCCATTGATTTGGACGCCTCGAAGCTTGGGGACGTACTGCGATGCTTGGGTGCCGGAGATAAGAAGGCTGAGTCTCTGGCTGATGGGACTGCGGCTGCTCTCCCACAGATGTGCTGCGAATGCGCAGGTTACTATCTTGGGGCGGCCGGCTGAGCCTGCGCTGCCGCCTCAACGGGGGCCGGTCGACGCCGAGATTGAGGGGCTCAGGCGGCGCCAGGATCGCGCTTCGAAGGAGTTCCCCTTTGGAACTGGTTAAGGAAATACTGGTGCTGCTGGAGCCCCTGCCCCTGAGGATGAGCCTGCTGTGCGCCGAGCAGCCGCGGAGCTCCTCGACTTCAGGCAGCGCGAACGTTTCGGTGCATTCCAGGTGTACTAAGTGGGTGGCGACGGCGCTGCCAGGGATGATGATTTCGTTGCCGATCATGGTGTCTGCTATTGATTTTGCGATGAGGTCTACTACGGCCTCCAGGCGCCCCCCTGGCCCAAGGGCGATGGTCTGTGGCAATCAGGAGCTCCCCGTTGTCATGTCGGGCGTTGACCGACACGAGGTATGCCAAGGGTTCCTCGCAGAGGGCCTCAGCTGAAGGAGTCAGGGCAGTGGGTGATGTCTCTGCGCGGAGTGGACAAGATGATGGCTGCGTCGGTCAGCAGAATGAGACGTCTCCACGGAGCGCCGCTGATCTGTCAGGAGGCGGCGCAAATCCACGCATTGAATATGACGGTGGTGGTCGGCAGCTGAAGGAACAAATGGTGACCTTGAATGCTGGCGCGGCTGGGCCGCTACTGCAGCATGTTGAATGCGCTCGAGCTGCTGCGATTCTCGTCCAGGGGCACAGCTGCAATGGTGATGCGCTGCCAAGTTTCAGATGCCGCTGCGAGATGCAGGATTCGATGGTGTCTTCTCGGCAGCAAAACGGACGGCAGCTGATGGACTTAGCGCGGGAGTGCCGGTCGTTGTTTCGACGTATGTTATGATCGCCGCACTGCCGTTGCCGCCAGATCCCGCGCCGCCGCTGCTCCCAGATCTAAGCATGTTGGGGATGCAAAGGTTGGCCGGTATCGTTGTATCTACAGGACTCTGTTGGGCTTGTCTCGTTCAATCTTTCGTTGTTTGATGTGCTTGTGACGTACTTGGGTCGTTTGAATGCTGGGGCCAGACCATGGATTGTCGGGGGGGCTGGAATGTTGAGTCGCGCATGGTTCGGGGGCAGGCGTGGCTGGAGCAAACCAGAGCGATGTTTCATGGCACCTGTCGGAGCAACATGTCGCGTGCGTCCTGGGGCAGAGGGGCGCGCGGACGATTATTCTGCATTGTGAAAGTCTCTTGCCTCGCGAGTTGGACCTCCACAGGTGCGCGCTGATGTCATTGCGCCAACGCATTATCCCGTGTCGCTCCCTTTCTCGGACGTCGACAATCCGACATGGTTGCGCCTGCCCGTCGAGACCGGGCAACTGCCGCGCGGATCTCATGCGGGATGTTCAAGGTACCTCGCGGATTGGGCCCCTGCGTTGCAGGCCATCGAGGGGGCCCATGACCCGGTTTCTCTGCAGCGCGCGCGGGACATGACGTCGATGGCAGTTGAGCGTGAGCTGTGCGATCGACATGACAAGGTTGGCCCAGGCAGCGATGCTTCCCTGGGCAGAGGTGGCCCAGCCAGAACGAGCTACGTTCAACCCAGGTTGCAGCCGAAACTGGATCGGCAACAACATGGGCCGAAGCTTTGCGCGTGGCTGCAGGCTGCTAGATGGGCGAAACACTTGAGCAAGGTTCGAGCCTTTTGGTGCAAGAAGGTGAGTGCGTACCTGGCTACTGGTTTTGGTCTTTGTCGTGGTCGCATGTGCTTGTCTGGCCCTTGTTGTCCATGCGCTGGAGCGGTGATACATGATCCGACTACGCTGGCTGCAGGATGGCAACGTGCACGGCGGCGCGGCAATCAGAAAAGGCACAGCGAGGAGGAGGGCACGACGACGCCAGTGGCCCAGGCTCGAGCGCATGGTCCAATACGAAAGCTAGCTAGGTCACTGATCGATGCCATGCACTTCCTGGCGGAAGTTTAACATGCTTGTGAGGTCTGGAGTTATCTGTGAGATTGGGCGCTGTATTTTTTCATGTGACTATGCGATGATTGCCCGTGATGGCTTCCTTGATATTGCTTGTCGCGTTGTTGGATATGTTTATGGCCTGCCGCAGTCCCATCGCCGCCAGGTGGAACAGTCTCGGCAGCAGTGGATGCGGCAGGCGCTCGACAGAGGAGCTGGGCCAGCACATCGCGCGTCAAGAGCCTGGGCCCTTGGAGCTGCGGTGGGGCACGCTGACCATGCGCAGCCCTACCAGCTCGCTGATCGCGAGATTGACACATGGGTGAGATTTGGAGTCGCCATGAGCAGCACTGTCTACGAAGTGATCACCAGCAGTGGCTTCAACTTCCTCGGTTCAGGCCGCATGATCTCCAGGAAGCGGCCCTTTCGTTCTCCTGGAAAACGGCTGTTGGCCCCAATCGACTCCATCTTCGTGCTTTATGGTATCTTTCTTTTCGCGGTATCGCTGCTCTGTGCGCCCAATAGCGTGCATGCGAGCAGCTGATGATCTGGCGACCTGAACGCATTATAAACGATCTGGTGCGCTTGACGGAACTTGATGGAGGAACGAGGTTGTTCACCCTCGTTGAAAGCTTCATGAGACTATTGTCGCGAGTCAGGCGCCCCCTCTCCAGGGGATGGATCATGCCACCTGCTAGTTCTCACGTCTGGGGGATTCGGCGAGGATTTCCACCCAGTCTCTCAGCCTACGAGCACACTTTGCAGGCTGAGATTGCAGGCTGGACGATGCGTCGATCACGGTGTTCCTGGACACGTGGAAGTGGTTTGACCTTGTGTTGTTCTCTGCGCTGGTTCAGGAAGCGAGAGAGATGCAGTTCCCAATGCGGCTCTTTTGGGCGCTCCTGGGGTTGCATACTCAAGGGCCGCAAAAGCGTTCGACTGTTGGAGCAAGGTTTTCCAGGCCTTTCAGGGGATCCTGGCGCGGTGTGCGCCTGCGACGACGTTCCTCGCGATTTTACCTACAGGGCCATCATGGATGTCGCCGAGGTGAACCTTAATGGGTCCCCCGTGAAGGGAACCGTTTAGGCTTGGGCTCTTGTTGCAAGTCAAGAAGCCTGGGTGGGTCTCAACGGCCGCTTCCGCTAAGTATGGGTTTGGGCGATTTGCCGAGAGTGCCCACCTGGAGGCCAAGTCTGGGCTGGGAATATTGGCTTTGAGCTCAGCGGGCCCCGACCTATCCGTAAGCGGGCGAAGGCAAGGTTGAAGCAGTTGCAAGGCCGATTCCCGGGGCGTTGCGATGAGGCGCAAGGAACCGAGTTATTTGTTCTGGAGGACGGGGCATTTCCTTGTTGCAGCGCACGGCGCAACGGTGGCAGGAAACAACGACCGAGAGCTGAATGAGCTCAGGCAGTATGCAGCTACCCTTGCTGGCAGAGCTAGCAAGTCTTCGTCGGTCGCGCTCGCGCGCGCTACACAGGCCGACGCCATGTGCGACCCGATGTTCGAGGCCGCGCTGGCCCCGTTGAGAGCCTACTGTGGGTTCGTCTGGGATCGAAGGGTTAGTCTTGGGGGGTAACAGCGAGATTGGGGCCAGGTCCGAGATGCACTCCAGGAGCGAAGTTCATGGGAGGCTCCGCATGGTCCAAGTGCGGTGCTAGCTTTGCCTCGTACCAGGATGGGCTGGAGCATGGCGCCCAGCGCTGTGCTTGCCAGCGGCTTGGGCCATTTATTTGACATTCTGAAGTTGCCATCGTGGTCGATAGTGGAGCTCGTGCGCCAGGGCGTCGAGCGATGGCAAGGCAATCGCACTGTGCCCCACCACCAGGAGGCATGCGTGGGAAGGGGAGGTAATATGGACGAGGATGTGCAGGAAGCGCGTGGGAGGAGGAACGGCGGCTGTGAAGAATTCACGCTATGCTGATGCCCTACGCTCGCTATGGTCAGGCGCATTGTGGTCGAGGGACCGTGTGGCGCGCGCTGGCTGCTGCACCTCTCCTGCTTGTCCTCCTTGCACGGCCGGGCATTCCACGATGAGGCATCCGATATATTTGTGTATATATACATATAGCAGTGCCCAGATTGTCATGATGATGTATGAGATGGTCCTGGCCTCGAGTGGGATTCATTTTGGGCTTGGATGCGTTCTCGCGTCCGGGCTAAAAAGGCCAGGCCGATGAGTTTGGTTATTTCGAGACGGCTGTCGGGATGCCACTCAGCCCCCACGTGCCTCCGTACGTGGAGGGCAAGCTGAGAGTTTCATTATGGGGTGATTGGTGGTCGGGTCGGACCACTTGGGGAACGACGGAATATGCGTCTGGGTCTGGGAAGACCCCGAGTGGGCCAGAATTTCGGCGTTGCGGACGGTCTGCGGTACAAAACGGGGGCAACGGCATGCCTGTCAGAGCTAGTTTGTGGGCCACTGTGGGAGCCGGCACAGACGGTGGGAATGGCGGACATGTTCGCGGCGTTGCATGCGTCGCGCCACTTCCCAGTTGCGTCTTTGGTCGCCACCGACCTGCTGGATTTAGCCGAGGAGGGTGCCAGTTGGTCTCACCACCAGGCCGACGCACAAGCCAGTTACGCTGACATCTGGCTTTCGATGTCGAGCTTGGCGCCATTCCGTGATGATGCGCCAAGGTTCCCCGTCGCACATGAGCCCAGAGCAGCGCATCGAATTTGCTGCCAGATGGAATGTGTCGGGGGAACACGTCCTCGGCAACAATGTGGGCGGATTTTTTCGTGAAGAAAGGTGCAGCAGCGCATGCGCTACCGAATGTTTTGGTCCAGCGCTTTGAGGCCTACCTCACAGCTTCCAGGTTGCAGGCCTAGTCCTTCCGTGGGCAGCGCCCAAGATGGCCGCGAGGGATGGTGAATCAGGTCGACCAGAACATCTTCTGAGGGATTCGGTGAGAGCTGTGCGTGGCCTCCTGCTTACGTCTCAAGGTGTCGTAATTCGGGGCCCCACGCGTTCCAGTGTAGGAACTGTCTCGGGATGGCCCACGGCCCAAAAATGAGTGAAGGCGGCCAGTGATGCGGATCTCCAGCGAGCTCCTGCAGGCCAGCGTTGTTGGGGGCACTCCCCTCGGCGACAGGCCTGTGCCCGCCGATGCGATCGTCGAAATGCAGTGGGGCCATGTTTTGTTGACGCCATGGGCTATGGTTTGCACGCAATGTGGTTCGCATCGGGTATCGCAGGGCAAATTGGCCAAGTGCAGACTGCACGGGCACTGCCTTGGACCCTCTCTGAACAAGGGGAGAACAAGGGCCCCCTCCCTACATGCAGACCCATGCTGTAGCGTCAATCCGGGCTGGGAAGCACCCTCAGGAGGGCCCCCCCTTAGGTCCCGACTAAGTCTGTCAGGTAGGCCCGCGCTCCCGCCCCCACGGCTGCACGACTCGGCCTGGCGCTGGTCCTCCTCCTCCTCCTCCTCCTCCTCCTCTCTCCTCCTCCTCCTCCTCCTCCTCCTCCTCCTCCTCCTCCTCCTCCTCCTCCTCCTCCTCCTCCTCCTCCTCCTCCTCCTCCTCCCTCACCTCCTCCTCCTCTTCCTTAACATCCTCCCTCCTCCTCCTCCTCTCCTCCTCCTCCTCCTCCTCCTCCTCCTCCTCCTCCTCCTCCTCCTCCTCCTCCTCCTCCTCCTCCTCCTCCTCCTCCTCCTCCCCTCCTCCTCCTCCCTCGGTTCTCCTCCTCCCCCTCCTCCTCCTCCTCTCCCTCCTCCTCCTCCTCCTCCCTCCTCCTCCTCCTCCTCCTCCTCCTCCTCCTCCTCCTCCTCCTCCTCCTCCTCGTGCGAGGTTGGATGAGTGGCTTTGGCGTCGTTTGGGTTTGGATGATCCGCCCCAGAGAGTCGCCCACCCTGCCTTATAGGGGGACAGCAGCTGAATTCAAGTCACGAGCTCTGGTTTAAAGGGCGCTATGTATTTTGTGGTTTGTGCGGGTCCTGGACCGCCCAACGACCAGTCAACCTTTCGATTGGTTGCCATGTGGCCCTCGAGGGCCCGCACAAATCTCCCCGAAGCAGTTGTAGGTGCTCCAGCGAGTACGCAAGGGTCAGCCACCTCAGCAGACTGCCTCTTCCTGGGGTGACGGGTGTGCCCTAGAGCTTTAATCTAATGTATTTCACCGTCGAGTTTTAACCTGCTTGCAGAGTTTGGCTTGCTGATGCACACAGTGTCAAAGAAAAACAAACAAACAAACAACTCCTCCTCCTCGATGTTTCCACGACGTGGAACGTGCGGCCTTCGAGGGGGTCGGGGCCGCCACGCGGCGAGCGCCCAGGTCATCGGCAAGAACGCCTACTTCGGGGAGGACCCGCCGATCCGCCCCGCGGGCGGAGAGCCAGGGGCAACGCTCGTCGGGAGGGAAAGAAACACGCAGGCACAACTACTCGACGACTTCCCAGGAAAGATGGAAACATATTGGAAGCGGGGGGGGAAGACGAGATCCCAGAACATATGGAACATTTCATGGGGTCCCTTTTACTTGTGTGTGCGTGTTTACTTCTGTGTCGCAGGGCCCCTTTCAGCTCGGGGGGGAGAAGGCTTAAGTCGGGCCTGCCCCTCTACAGGAGGAATATCCCCAAATAGTTAAACAATAGTCTGGGGACGGTGTTTTGAATATGTTTGACGATTATTTGAACATATGTTGGGAATCCGCCTGTAGGAGGGCATGCCCGACCTAAGAATAGGCACAGGGGGAGATGCATCGACCCCCAATCGCGCACGCTTTGCCAATAGGGGCTCGACAGTCCACCCCGCCCCGGAACATGCGGTGTCGGTGTGGGGGACCCTTGGGGACTTAACGCCGATCTATCCGCGATGCATCGCCGACTCCAGCTCGATGTTTCCCCCCCAGAGCTGGTCCCCCCGAACGCCCTCCTTCATGGAGAAGAGCAGGCCGGCGGCCAGCTTCAGTTGGCGGGTGCTGTTTGAAGTGCCCCTGGTCCAAGGTGTCCCCAGCTTTGGGCTCCGTTTTGGACCCGAGGCCCTCTGGGCTCCGTGAGGAGTGTTTTGGAGGCCGTGGGGGCCTCCTTGGAAATCCTGTGGGTACCTTGGGTCAGGGACAGTTCTAGCAATACCCGACTTGGGTCGGTGGATCGCTCCACATCGCCGATGCATCGGCGATGCGGCTCGATGTGGAGCGCCGACTTTCTCCACAGCCGACGTCGCCGATGTATCGACCACGTCGCTGATGCATCGTCGATGCGTCGGTGATGCATCGACGATGCGGCGCGATCCTCCGATCCCTTCTGCTCTGACCCCATCTGGGAGGCCTCCAGGGGGCGCCGACCAGAGGGCCCTGCAGAACACGGGCTCTGGAGGCGCTTCGCCGTGCTCGGCCCTCCCCTGGGCCCTCCTCCTCCTCCTCCTCCTCCTCCTCCTCCTCCTCCTCCTCCTCCTCCTCCTCCTCCTCCCCCTCCTCCTCCTCCTCCTCCTCCTCCTCTCTCTCCTCCTCTCCTCTCCTACCCTCTCGTTCTCCTCCTCCTCCCCCCTCCTCCTCCTCTCCTCCTCCTCCTCCCTCCTCACCCTCCTCACCCTCCTCCCCCCCCTCTCCCTCCTCCCTCCTCCTCCTCCTCCTCCTCCTCCTCCTCCTCCTCCTTCATCCTCATCCTCGGCCTCCTCCTCCTCCTCCTCCTCGTCCTCCTCCCTCATTTCCTCCTCCTCCGCCTCCTCCTCCGTGCCCCGAGACAGGCAGAGCAGTGGGCTCGGGATGCAGAAGTGAGTTTGCGGGCCCTTCTGCCTCCAGGACCCGTCTCGCCGTCGTGGTCGGAGGAGGAAGAACGGGGCTTCTCCTCTCGTCTCCTCCTCCGTCTCCCGTCCTCCTCCCTCGTCTCCCTGTAGCAGCGGCGGCTTCGGAGGCACACGTCGCCCCAAGGGTACTGTCACTCCTCCTCCTCCTTCTCCTCCTTCTCCTCCTCCTCCTCCTCCTCCTCCTCCTTGTCCCTCCGCTTCCTCCCTCTCCCCTCTCCCCCCTTGTCCCTCCTCCTTTTCCTCCGCTTCCTCCCCGCTCTCTCCCTCCTCTTTCTCTGCTTCCCCGTCCTCGTCCCTCGTCTCTCTCTACTCGATCCTCGGACCCGGCGCCAGACCCGCTTTAGGTGTTGTTGCTATTGGTGCCATGCGTGTCGGCCCAGGGCCATGGGCCCACCACGACGGAGGCGGTGGGTTCCCGTCACTCGGACGAGTGGCAATGGGGGTTGGCCTACATGGGGGGTGAAGACATGAGCCGGGACGGTGCCTTTTTGGCCCCAGTTTGGAACACAGCAGGGGCTCAAAAGCGGCCCCAAAGGGCCCCCTTCGTGCCCGTTTGTTCACCCCCGATTCAGGTCACCCCATATTACACCCGTCCGAGTCAAGGAGTTGTTTTCTCAGCGACATTCCACCTGGGTCACAACCACAGGGCGCACGCACGCCAACACACACACACACCACACACACACACGCAACACACGCAACACACGCAACACACGCAACACACACACACACACGCAACACACAACACATACAACATGGAACAACTGGCGACAGGGAGCCAATAGAGAGGAGAGAACAATACTGGGGAGGAGGAGGAAGAGGAGGAGGAGGGTGGATGGAGGGAGGGACTCTGGAGCGTTGATTTGCAACGAGAGGGGAAGATGAGGATTCTTCAGCTGTTCCTCTGTGCTGCCTGCAACTGAATGAGAGAGAGGGAGGGGCGCGGGAGGCGAAGGGAGTAAGTCGGGTATGTGCCTCGACAGGTCCGTAGCCATTTTGACTCAAGCCTGCCTTGGGCGCTAGGCGGGCGGTGCGCGCCGTGCCTCTCCCTGTAGAGTCCAGTCACCTCGGCTGGCGCGGAGAGCGGCTCGGTCTCCTTCCCCCGCGCGCGCGCGTCCCGAGGCAATGGCTACGGTCGCTTCCCTGGGTGGGGACAAGCCTGCGGGTGCAAGGCTTGGCGCTGTCGCGGAGCTCGTCCGCGCCGCCGTGCGAGGTGCAGCCGAGGGAGGTGCGCCTCGGCAGGGCCTGGCGGCTGTGGCGGCGGCGGCGGTCCGCTCGGCCATGGGAGATCCCGCAGTGGTGCGTTCGAGCCCGTCGTCGCTGAGCACGTTCGGGCTGCGAGCGAGGCGCGGCCCCCGCGCGTGGCGGGAGGTCGACGCGCCTGGCGGAACATCGCGGAGCACAAGTTCCACGACGAGATGGGCAAGCCCTTCAGGGTCGAGGATCGGTTCGAGAAGTCAGACGCGCAGGGCAAGTGCCTCCAGCGCGGCCGGCGGCTGCTGGCCGAGGTACGGGGCAAGGCCGGGATGCGATCCGTGTCGGGGGTGCTGACGCCGAGGTTCGAGGACAATGGCGCGGACGAAGCGTGTGCTTGCTTGGACGAGGCGCTCACGGAGGCGACCACCTCCAGCGGGAAGTCCGAGTGGCTGGAGCAGCTCGGCGTCGCGGGCTCGGGATCGGCGGCGGCGGACTCGGACGGCATGGTGCGCCGTGTCCAGGAGCTCATGGCGGAGCGCCAGCAGCTCCTGGCAGAACGAGACGGGCTCGTGGACGAGCTCATGAGCACCAAGGCCCTTGCCTGGGAGCTCACGCGCAAGGCGGAGGCCGCCTCGCCTTTCTGGGCCGACCTCGCCTGTGGGGAGGATGAGGGGCTTGGAGGTGCGGCCAGTTTCGATTTCGAGGGCGTCTTCGTTGGGGCCGATGCGGCGCGGAAGGAGTCCCTGCCAGAGGTCCCGCCTTTCCCGCTGCTGCAGGATGGCGTGGGCGAGCAACTGGTGGGGCAGCCCGTCGGCATGGAGGCGTCGTACAAGGAGAAGTTCGCGGGGTCAGCCTTGTCGAACAACTGTTCCCACGAGGAGGCGTCCGAGTGCCAGGCCGCCCGCATCGGGGGCAGCAAGCCGACAGCGCTGGAGCCGAGGGCGTGTGGCGCCGAGGCGCTGGTGGAGGCGCCCGAGGGGGCCTCGAAGGGAGCGCGTTGGGCTGATGACCTCGATGAGATCACCCAGCAGGTGGTGCCCGAGGTTTCGGCGGCGGCGGAGGCCCCGACGGAGGCCCAGCAACTCATTCTCGGCGCCGCTAGGCTGGCGAGGGAGGCCCTCCAGCGCGGCGACATCGCCGAGGGCCTTCGGCTGCTGGAGGCGGCCCAGGCGAAGTGCCTGGAGAACTAGCCAGGTAGGGTGGCGCCTAGATCATGTGTAGTATATGTTTCTTGCACAGTGCTTGCTTGATTCAGGTGTTGCTGGTGATGAGATCGTGTGTCGTATCTGTTCCTTTCAGTGCTACACCTGATTTGGTTTTCTTGTGTAGTATATGGTCTGATCAGTGCTGCACTTTATGGATGGTCTTGTGTAGTGTATGCCAGAGGCTTCGCCTCTCTGTCTGTGCTGCACTTGTTTGGGGGGGGTCCAAGGCGGCCTCCTCGGGAGGGTAGGCCAATCCGTGGCCCCTCGGTTTTTGTTTTTTCCTGCCTTTAAGGCCCCGGCAATACAGCACAATACAATACAATGTGCCTCTGCAGGGTGAATATTCAAAAATAGTAAAAAGTAGTCCAGGGACGATGGTTTGACCATGTTAGCGTATTTGTTTGAATTTTCTTGATTTGTTTTTACCTTTTTCCTGCCAAAATCCCCCTGTATGGGGGGCGGGCCCGACCGAAGGGCAGTCGGTCCTTTCCGAGCAGGGCGACCTTTGCATGCCTTGCTCGGCTCGCCGCACGGATTGGCGAGTGAGCTTCGAAGGAAGGAAAAATTAGCTTGGCGAAGGACCCAACCATATGCAGTTGTGAGTAATGCTGGTGTGAGTACCGTCTTCGGTGGATCTCCCTATGGGGCCACGAGCCGTTTGAGGGGTGTGCCGAAATGGGTGTGGGGGCGGCATGCGAACGTTGCCACTGGGGCCTTCGGTGAAGCTCCCTTATGGGGCCACGAAACGTGTGAGGGGTGCACCGAAATTGTTGTGGGGGCGGCATGCGAACGCAGCCACTGGGGCCTCCGGTGGAGCTCCCTGTGGGGCCACGAAACGTGTGAGGGGTGTGCCAAAATTGGTGTGGGGGCGGCATGCGAACGCAGCCACTGGGGCCTTCGGTGGAGCCCCCTTATGGTGCCACGAAGCGTGTGAGGGGTGTGCCGAAATGGGTGCGGGGGCGCATGCGAACGCAGTCACTGGGGCCTTCAATGGAAATCCCCATGGGGCCACGAAGCGTGTGGGGATGTGCCGAAATGGGTGTTGGGGAGGCATACGAACCAGGCCATTGGGGCCTTCGGTGGAGCTCCCTATGGGGCCACGAAACGTGTGAGGGGTGTGCCGAAATTGGTGGTGGGGAGGCATGCGAACCCTGCCACTGGGGCCTTCGGTGGAGCTCCCTATGGGGCCATGAAGCGTGTGAGGGGTGTGCCGAAATGGGCGGTGGGGAAGCATGCGGACCCTGCCACTGGGGCCTTCGGTGGAGCTCCCTATGGGGCCACGAAACGTGTGAGGGGTGTGCCGAAATGGGTGGTGGGGAGGCATGCGGACCCTGCCAATGGGGCCTTCGGTGGAGCTCCCTATGGGGCCACGAAACGTGTGAGGGGTGTGCCGAAATGGGTGGTGGGAGGCATGCGGACCCTGCCACTGGGGCCTTCGGTGGAGCTCCCTGGGGGCCACGAAACGTGTGAGGGGTGTGCCGAAATGGCACGGGGGGGCCTTCGGTGGAGCTCCCTATGGGGCCACGAAACGTGTGAGGGGTGTGCCGAAATGGGTGGTGGGGAGGCATGCGAACCCTGCCACTGGGGCCTTCGGTGGAGCTCCCTATGGGGCCACGAAACGTGTGAGGGGTGTGCCGAAATGGGTGGTGGGGAGGCATGCGGACCCTGCCACTGGGGCCTTCGGTGGAGCTCCCTATGGGGCCACGAAACGTGTGAGGGGTGTGCCGATATGGGTGGTGGGGAGGCATGCGGACCCTGCCACTGGGGCCTTCGGTGGAGCTCCCTATGGGGCCACGAAACGTGTGAGGGGTGTGCCGAAATGGGTGGTGGGGAGGCATGCGGACCCTGCCACTGGGGCCTTCGGTGGAGCTCCCTATGGGGCCACGAAACGTGTGAGGGGTGTGCCGACATGGGTGGTGGGGAGGCATGCGGACCCTGCCACTGGGGCCTTCGGTGGAGCTCCCTATGGGGCCACGAAACGTGTGAGGGGTGTGCCGAAATCGGTGATGATGATGATGATGATGATGCTGATGCTGATGATGATGATGATGATGATGATGATGATGATGATGATGATGCTGATGATGCTGATGATGCTGATGATGCTGATGATGCTGATGATGCTGATGGTGGGAGGAGGGAGGGGGGGAGGAGGAGGTGAGGAACGCGGGGCGCCGTCTCTTCAAAACGAGGACCCAATTCCACAAAATGGTTGGGCACTTAGCCTGGCGAAGGACCCAACCATATGCAGTTGTGAGTAATGCTGGTGTGAGTACCGTCTTCGGTGGATCTCCCTATGGGGCCACGAACCGTTTGAGGGGTGTGCCGAAATGGGTGTGGGGGCGGCATGCGAACGTTGCCACTGGGGCCTTCGGTGGAGCTCCTTATGGGGCCACGAAACGTGTGAGGGGTGCACCGAAGTTGGTGTGGGGGCGGCATGCGAACGCAGCCACTGGGGCCTTCGGTGGAGCTCCCTGTGGGGCCACGAAACGTGTGAGGGGTGTGCCGAAATTGTGTGGGGGCGGCATGCGAACGCAGCCACTGGGGCCTTCGGTGGAGCTCCTTATGGTGCCACGAAACGTGTGAGGGGTGTGCCGACATGGGTGTGGGGGCGCATGCGAACCCAGTCACTGGGGCCTTCAGTGGAAATCCCCATGGGGCCACGAAACGTGTGAGGGATGTGCCGAAATGGGTGTGGGGAGGCATACGAACCAGGCCACTGGGGCCTTCGGTGGAGCTCCCTATGGGGCCACGAAACGTGTGAGGGGTGTGCCGAAATGGGTGGTGGGGAGGCATGCGAACCCTGCCACTGGGGCCTTCGGTGGAGCTCCCTATGGGGCCACGAAACGTGTGAGGGTGTGCCGAAATGGGTGGTGGGGATGCATGCGAACCCTGCCACTGGGGCCGTCGGTGGAGCTCCTTATGGGGCCACGAAACGTGTGAGGGGTGTGCCGGTATGGGTGGTGGGGAGGCATGCAGACCCTGCCACTGGGGCCTTCGGTGAAGCTCCCTATGGGGCCACGAAGCGTGTGAGGGGTGTGCCGAAATGGGTGGTGGGGAGGCATGCGGACCCTGCCACTGAGGCCTTCGGTGGAGCTCCCTATGGGGCCACGAAGCGTGTGAGGGGTGTGCCGAAATCGGTGGTGGTGATGATGATGATGATGATGATGATGATGATGATGATGATGATGATGATGATGATGATGATGATGATGATGATGATGATGGGAGGAGGGAGGGGGGGGCGAGGAGGAGGAGGAGGGGAACGCGGGGCGCCGTCTCTTCAAAACGAGGACCCGACACCACAGGATGGTTGGGAAAACACATTCTCCTAGATGTTTGGCGCTTCGCGCGGATCTGGGCCTCCGGGCGGCGCCTCCTGCGCCGCCCCTGGCGCGCTCCGCGCGGAGCGCCAAAAGCTTACGGTAGGTTCGCGTCGTGTCGACCGGCGGCGACCCCGCCGCCGACGTTCAACGTTGAACGCCGACGGCGGCCCAGAATCGGTCGATGTTGAACGATTGGACGTTGCGGAGACGGCCGATCGTTCAAGGTTGAACGATCCAGCGCGGTGTCAGGAACCAACGCTGGGGTCGACACGACACGAACCTGCCGTATGCTTGTGTGTGTGTGTTTCTTCTTCTATTGCTCGGCTCGCCGCGTGGGTTGGCGAGTGAGCTTGCCCTCGCATCGCCAGTCGCGCCGCGCACCAAGTTTGCCAGCCGCGGCATGTCCTTCACGAGCTGCGCGTCGAGCATGGGCTGGCTTGAGCTTCGCCGCATGGTGCGCCAGCTTGCCACGACTCTTCAGTTCGGCGTTGCAATCGGTCGTCGCAGAGTCGATGGTGCCAGGGCATTCGCTGCGCTGCTCAGCCCGCCTGCACTCCGAGCCAGGCCGGCTCCTCAGCTTGCACAGTAATTCGGGAGCTTGCACGACCACCTCCGCCGTTTTCAGAGATGGCTTGGTCGGTTTGGCTGTCCTGCGAGAGGTGTTCGCACTTCCGAGATCCACATCGCCACGCTCTCCACTTTCTGTGAGACATGGTGAGCTCGTAGCGATCACGAGCAGCGAGCCTTCCGTGAGCTGCCGCCCTCTGGGCCGCTTTGTCCGCGAGTTTGTTGACGTGCCAGTCGCGATACGAGATGCGGCCCTCTGCCACCTGCCTCGCCGAATGCGCAGGCACCTTCCTGATCCTGAGGCCAGCGTCGCAGAGGCCGCCAAACTCGTCCAGTAGCCGCCACGCCTCTCTCCACAATGGCAGTCGGCCGTGGTTTGGGTATTGCCGTGCTCGGTAAGACCAAGAAGCACTATGTTGTTGTCGACCATTGCCGTGACAGGCGGCGACGCAAAGCGCAGCACCGCCCGCAGCGCAGACAATTCGCTGCCGTCGATGTCCACCAGCGCACCGCACATCGTGCCCCAAATCCCCATGACAAACACCTCGGCGTTGGCCAGCCGACACTCGTGCACCTGCTGAAGTCGCCCTCGAACGACGACCCGTCGAGGAACAGCTCGTCCGACGGCAGTTCGGTTCCGTACCGCTCAATCCAACACACATACGGTAATTTGGCGGATGCAGCGAGGCCCTTTGGCGACGGCTACATCGCGCACCACAGCAGGACCTTCACCTCGGACATGTCGGCTCTGTCCAGCAGATTGCGGGCGCCGTTCGAGCGTTGAAGTTCTTGTGGCCATCTTTCACACCAAAGACGCCGATCGAGGAGAGTACCAA